ATAATAATAATAATAACAGTAATAATAATAAATAATTACAATAATATTAATAACAATAATAATATTAATAATAATTAATAACAATAAAACAACACAATTCACTCGAGTAATATTAAAGAATAGTGCACTTCCTCTTTTTACGTGTTTTATCCCGCGGCAAGGTATCACCGCCAGGCATATTCATACGCAACGTTCCACCTTTCCGTCGCTTTATTTCTCGCATTAAATCATAAAACACCTGAAATTTCAAGTTATACGTCTCTATTTCAGCATATTCTCACATAATAAATCAGTTTATCACTATCAACAAACAACAATAACAAATAATAATAATAATAACCTTATCGACATTGGTTCTGTTCTTGGCCGAAGTCTCGATGTAAGGGATGCCCCACTGCTCAGCCCTTTGCTGTGCCTGGATTTGCAATACGCACCTCTCTTGAGTCAAGTCACTCTTATTCCCCACCAGCATTATCGGAATCGATGAATCGACTGCATTCTTGACGCGCAGAATTTGTTCTCTATATATTCACCACTATTAATCGTAATTTATCACCATTTCATCACATTACTTTTTAAATTATTTCGTACCACATCATTTATCATTTCAAATTAAAATTCACCTAAATTCGTTGGTTGCATCAAACGATTCACTGTCTGTTATCGAAAATACACAAATGAATCCTTCACCACTGCGATAGTAATTATCCCTGAAAAGTCATTGAATTCATTCACTGAATTTCCACAAAAATTTCCTTTTTTTTTCAATGGGATTCTCTGCTTGAAATTTTCGAAATACAGCAAGTTTGAAGAATCTTCTGAGAAATCCAAATCGAATAAACAATTTCCGTCAAAATTCCCGCAAAACAGGTCGAACCTAATGGCCGAATAGTCCTCTTGACCAGCCGTATCCAGAATATCGATAGAGCATTCCTCACCGTCGAGCACCACCTTTTTACGATACGAATCCGCTTTAGTTGGCTCGTATTCTTCGACGAACTGCAATATTTCTAAATGACAAATCCTCTTATGAATTCAATATTTTCACCATCTTTATCAAAAAACTACAAATTCAAACAAAATAGAATTGCAATTCAATTTTTTTAAAATGACATTTCA